GAATTAGCATGATAATATTACTACAAACCAGTTCGTTCAGTAAGACTTACATCCAATTATCGCTTATTGTTGATTGAATCCCATTCAGTTTCACTGAAAATTTCAAACAATACTACTGAAGTGAAAAATTGTCATTGTTGGCACCACAATGAAATGTGTCCTCGGCATTTAACACAGCGTTGAGCCACTATTATTAAGCACCCAGTGAGAAGTGCATGGGAACGGTACCATGCTGGCTGGGGACTGAAACCAGCAACCTTCCAATCACAAACACGCAGCCTTACCCATTAGATCAGGGCTATTCAAATCATGGCCCTCATGGGCAGAGCACTGCTGTTTTTCCAGCTTTCCTTTACCTGTTTTTGCAAAGATGTCTGCTCTGTGGAACCGGTTTAAACGAAGCCCAAAACCATCTGCTTTTGTGAGGGAAAAATTTGGGATAAACACATGATGGAATTCTTTGATTCTTGTTATGAAGCGTTTGTCACTCAGATTGTAGAGCAGGTGGATCCAAGCAACTAGAGGAGGCGGGGCCAGCCAATCAGATGTCTTGGACCCACCTCCTCTACAATCTGATTGGTTATCTCTCTAAACCAATCTCTTTTCATTCTGCCCTCAGAACATTCTTGTGTAAGCAAATCTCCTACAAGCTTAGTGTGGAGCTGGATTCTTCTCCTGAGTCACATATGCCAAGTTTTAAAAATGATGCATGCTGAAATGAAAACAACCCCAAACATATAAGTTTTCCCTTTATATAGGAGGGGAAAACACACAAATGTCAGGTTGCCAGGTTGTATAAATCTCCCTGTTCTTGTTCCAGAGTGGCTGGTGGTGACGGGTGCAGATGAGCCTGTCTATGCACATGCTGGAGAGGATGTGACTCTCAGCTGCTTTGTGGAGACCCATGTTAATATGACAGAGCTTCAGGTGGAATGGAAAAAGACAGACGATGATGGTGACATCTTGGTGCTGCTGTATGCTGATGGAGAGAACAGACCAGAATCACAGGATGAGAGATACTCTGGAAGAGCTGAATTCTTCACTGAGGAAATTACCAAAGGAAATTTCTCAATGAAACTGAGGAAAGTCAGGACTGAAGACAAAGGAGAGTTCAGGTGTGAAGTCCACTCAGATACTGATTCTAACAATACAACTGCCAGGATAGCAGCACTGGGTGAGTCACTGGAAGGACTGGTTTTAACATGCATCTCAGCATAGTTCTGTGTGATTAAATCACATTTTCATTCCCCTGAGGGTCAGTGGCTCTGCTGTACACTGATCGTTATGCAAATGCCATAGGGTTTAATCTGCTCAGTGTAACAGTAGAAATGGTGAAATTTAGCGCAGTTTTAAAACATAAAAAAAAAATGCATTAAATGAACGAATGAAAATTTGTTTCAGGCTTCAGCTTTAGTGCAGTTTTCAGCTCTGTCATAGCAGGTATTTTATTAGAGTGATGCACTGTAATGTGTAATTATGGTTTTATTATTTATATTCATTTGAGAGCTATGGAGACCATGAGAGTATGACCGGGAAAAATGCAGTAATAACACAGTATTATTCTTACTTGTCTGTAACATCGTATGACAGTAATACATTCAAAAAGCCCTTTGTGACATGCTGTGTAAATATATTCAAATCATATATGGGAATATGAAAAATCTTATATATTAAATCTGTAAGTTTTCAGGCTGGAGAACAGTTAGAACTTACACACTTATGGACAAAGATTTAATCATAAACTTCTGCTCCACTTTGTAAGAGTAATGGTAAAGGTGTAATGGTGTGGACGTGTTGATTATGCTGCAGCATGACAAACAGCCTATTTTTGAAAATGACTAATGGAATGTAATTCTGAATATTTCAGGTTATTCATCCCTGCATTGGCTGATTCTGGGGCTCTGCATCGCTGTCACACCTGTAGTCCTACTTACTGGTGCTTTATCTGTCAGGCATTTAATAAGGGGAGGTAAGTGTAGCATCTGCTCTGTCATTTCTAGTAATTTTGATGACATCAGTGGATCCATGTTTGAACTGACTTACCCTGTAGAGGGCATCTCAGCAGACATGGGGCATCAGGCAGGACTGTATCTACACAGGGT